ATTAGTGTAAAATAGCACCTAAAATTGATATGCGTACCTAAAATTGATATGTACCTAGAAGTTATACAGACTATCCAAAATAATCCTGCTGGACCCTGTAATTACTTGGGAATTCTGACTAAGCGGAAAAAAGGCACAATTATGTGTATTTTAAAGTTATTATTACCATTGGTTTGGCCTGCGATGGTGCGGGGAGGCGGGAAAGGAGGGGGTAAAACCTGAATCTTTGGTCACATTACTAGAATTTTCTCTAAATTTGAAGATTCTGGCATACATTTTCAGTGGATTGTTTTTCACTTCAACATAATGCCATAACAGTAACATTTGCACAACCTCTTGAGCATTTAAATAATCATTAAGAAGAGTCATCAGAGTCTGAGACTGGTAGTAATATTTTATCCATGTTTAAATGGAATCACATTGACAAGAACCGGCTAAAGATCACTGAAAGATACAAGAAAAATTGGCAAATGCAGCCAAAACTATGGGAATCCATTGAATTATCAACACTTGATGCGGCACTTTACATCAGAATGAATCAAATAGCAGCCTCAGTGCATAAGAAGCATTTTAACTTCATAACATAGATACCCATAAAAACAGAAACTTTGTAATGTTAAGGTGCCGAAAAAAAAAAATTATATCAAGGCTCAGACCTTTCTGGGAGCCTAGCAGTTGAATTTGGACCACTGGTTGGTGAATCTGCAAAGACAAAGGAACTTTACATCTTTGAAGTGTTTACAAGCAAGTATTGTAACAAAACTTAAAATGACCAATATCTTCAAGTATGAAAAAGTTTGCTATTGGGCGTTGAGAGAACACAACTATTTGAAGCAAGTCATACTCAGTAGTTCAGCAAAAATAACATGAGCATGGCTAGGGAATCGATATAGTAAGATGATCATTTTCCCTATTTATTATTCATTGCTTCATAGTTATCAAAATTTTGAATTAACGCAGGCACCCAGATGTCCAGTCACTATCAAGTTAGTTTAAGAGTGTATCAACCAATAATCAGAACTTTTAGCCTATGAACTTGGTAGCTTTTCCAGGTCAATGAACTTGCCACTAGTAGCAAATGGTCAAGAACAATAGTGACCAGGCAACCAATCCACATCCACAAGCAGGAATATTTTAGGACAATATCGAAACAATTACAAATATCTTGACTTACCGATGTCACCTGTAACCATGGCATCTATTAACTTATCAGACTTAATGTCTAGTCGACTGCCAATCTCACGGGCAAGTGACATCTGGTATTCTGCGATATCCTACAGTTGCATAACAGAACAGGTCTTTAGTTCATTGGTTCAACATTTTATTCTTCCAAAGTAGCTCCAACTAACAAAAGATTCACATATCAGAAATAGAACTTCCACTTAATCATGTATCATACAAAGGAACCAAAGAGCAAAAGGTTGTTTTCAGATCAAGCATACAGGACATTCTCTAACTGCACAAATTATCAGTAAAGAAATCTCTGTCCCATGTGATAAAGTCATCTGATGCCATACCATAGGTAATGGAAGTTGCTGAAGTTGAGTTTGCCACAAATAAGCAGGAGTGATTCCGAGGTATCGATTAGGAGCACCACCAACTTCAGGTTCTGATGCATCAGCAACAACCCCTGAGATCATTGTGCTGGCAGGAGCAGAGGTGCCAAGTGCTGAAATATTTGAATAATTAGTTGAATTTGAGCTTGAACTAATTGTGACACTGGTACAAGTACTATCAAGGGAGCTTCTTGACATTATACTCCATTTTTCAATTTCTTCCTCGTGTATTTCGCCATCTTTGGATATCAGGGGAAGCCTCAGCTTCTGAGCAGCTTCTGCCATGACCATTCGATGCTCAAGAGCCTCGTAAACCTGAAATGTATATCATAGTCCAATTTTTAACCTGTCCTCAAGTAAAAATTTTATTTCAATTAAAAGTCTGCGGAAGTGGGGTCCATTTTACAAGGCTCAAATCGATAAATCCTGCTCAATGACAGGGAACAAGATAGATACACAGAAAGAGCGAGATCTCAAATGCAACCTATATTACCTTTACTCAGATCAACAGACTGCTTTGTATAACTACATATAATTAACAGATGCTTGGGAATGACTTCATCATGAGACTTTGATACATATCAGCTCTAGTGATGCCATAAAATGCATGCATTTATATCGAGCTTATATGGCACAGAAAACTGACAATGGCAGCACGCTTAGCTAAAGTAGTTTCGCATTCCCATCTTGCAGAGAAACATACTACTTAGAAAATTTTACAGAAATACTCCCAACAATTGCTGTTAAATATAGGAAAAAGAATCAGAAAACCTGAGGAGGATTCTTCAAGCCAAGCTGGGAGTAAAGACCCTGAACATCGCGAATGCCCCCAAAATTAGCCACTGAAACCGCCTGCTGATACTCTTCCACCATTGCAATTGCCTCGATGTAAATTGCCTACGGTTGTATTAACACAGATGGTATCAATTAAATGTGTCAAAAAGAAAAAAGAAAACAAAACTAACTGCAACAAACAAACCCAAAAAAAAAAGAAGAAGGAAGATTCTCAGTAGAGAGAATACCAAGGCTTCCAAATAACGCTGTCGTTCTTTGCACATTTCCTCCCTCGCCTGCATCCAATCCACATTTACACTAAATTCTACCTCAAATTCATTTTGTGATAAAATAGAGAAAGGAAGAAGGTAAAATTGTTCGAGAGAGTACGAGTTGGAGATCGTAGTGAGTGATTTGGCAATGAGAGACCCAACAGGAGCTAAGCAGTGCCGCTCCAACTGATCTAATAGCTGGATCACGTCTGCTCCTAGATTCTGTGCTGCAATCCCCTTCCCCATTTCTCTTCTCTTCGACAAATTTCACTTGTGACTTTTTCAGGAATATCTTGCTTCTGCTGTTGGTTTCTGTCTTTCCCTCAAAATTCAATATTTAAAGTTTTTTTTTTTTTTTTTTTTTGGAATTCGGTAATTAACTTCATTTTTTTCGTTTTTGTTGGGATTCGATAGTTAAAATCGTTAAATATATTATTAGGTAATATTCTGGTACGAAAATAAAACCTGCTACGTTGGTTGAATCATTGAATTATGAGCTACATTTTTAGGTGAAACTTTTTTGTCATCAGGATTAAAACCTTGCCAAATGTCAAAGTGAATCGTTGCATTGCATCATCTAATAAAAATAAAACCAAAATAATTGAAGAAGGTTTCTTCAATTAAACAGTAAAATGCTCAATGAATGTACTAATACCATCTTTTATCAACCATAAATTGTCATTTGAAACACACAAAGCTTGATCCTTTTCTTCCTTCCTAGTCTTATTAGATGTTAGAATTCATCAAATCAAAAGGAAATCCTACTAGTCCCAAGTGTCATGCAGGAATGTTTTCCAGACTAGAGGCTTGTCAATAACTTTCCAACCAACGTTGTATCTTGCTTGAAGCCAGAACCCTTAAAGACGTACGTTGGCAAGATGGAAGAAGAAGTCAGGAGCCATCTGAAGATGCACTGGGAAGGGAATCCGCAGGTCACGGCATGTTCTGTGATGTGTCTAGCATGTTATCTTAGGAATTTGACTAGGAAAGAGTCGCTATAACCTATAATTGAACCCTTGATGCAAAATCTTAACTTGAATCAGATGATGAACTGAAGTTCCTTATCCAATTTTTATGCCAAATATATGTGCCAGCCAACTGGGATTTGAATGTCTTCCAAAACTTGATCACATAGTCGCACTGCACAATTTCGGAATGTATCTGCAAATTCAGTTGGCAAACGTTTCTGATTGACTTGTTTATTACTGTGTCACCAAACCGTGGCTGGGGCTTCTGGTAGGTACTACCTTTGATGCAGAAGCTCACGTTCAACATAATTTGCTCTCTTCTTTTTGGGATTGAACGTGGAGAAAGAAGAGATCAATATGTCCACCATTTCCAAGAAATGATAGAAGGAATGTGGTCAATTCCTGTTAACCTGCCTGCCCTTCACACGCTTCAACAACAGCCTCATAACATGTACTGTATTCATAACACAGTACTTTGAAGTTACTGTGTCAGTCAAACTCAAGTTCGAGGATTAAGATTTTCTTAAGCTCGTTAAGTCCAAAAATGAAGGACAAAGAACAACTCAAAATTTGAGCATTAGTATCTTGCTAACATTTACATATGCTGCAGCTAGCTTTCCATAATGTCAATCAAGAACGTGAACTACCTAAGGTTTACATCCCATGAACCGCATGAAAACTATTGAAGGCAAAGATGGATACTGTTAGAAAGACAGTTAAAAATGGCTTGTAAGCATGTTAGGATGTTAAAAAGATGTAGCGAGCAAATATCGACTTAAAACTTGAGAGAGGACTACATGTACAGTTGCCAACAGGCCGACACTGCAAGACGTCGAGTATGCAGGCTAAAAAGATAACTAGTAAGAATCTCTCCCAAACTCAAGACACCCTGCAACCACTTGCACATCAGTTTCTCTCATTCCCCACCTTTGATAATGCACACACTACTTCACTACTGATCAACTTCACAATCCCAAGAATCCAAATTCTACACAAGGCTATGATTCGTGCGGAAAATAACATGTTCCCAATGCCTGCAAAACTTGACCCTGCAAGACTGGAAAACTAGGCATCCATTCCTCCAGAGTGCTTCGTTCCATTTGGAGCAGAACGCCTTTAACATATTAACGTGTACAGGATATGTGTTTGCAAAGATTCAAACTATTCACCATATATCATTTGGTTACTCGATTCAAATGGAAACAGTTCCGTGCCGACAATTTCCACTGAAAAGTGCCCACAAAAGGACTCAAAATTCTAATAACCCCCAACAAGTTGCAATCAGCAGGGATGAGTTTGCAGCAGCAATATAAAAGTTTAAACAGACTATTTTGAACAAAAAATTAAGGCCACTCACGTCTTGTTCTAGAGTTGAAATAGTTCTATCAGAGATCTTGAATAGGGAACATTACCTCAGTAATTATGTGAAATTAATCGATCAAACAAGACAATCCCGAATACCATATACAGTGCATACGATGAAGCTGTCACATGTCGTGGAGCCTCATGAATCTCTAGCATGCATCCTCATAACATGTACAAAAGCATTAAAATTATGTGAAAGACCACTTGTTCTAGAATACAGGCACCCCAAATACCAACATAGTTCATAACCTACTCAAGTTATGTCATATTTCACGGATACTGCTTCCCCAAGCCCAAAAAAGAAATCATTAAAACATAATGGAAACATAAGAGCACCACTAATTTACATTCATTTGCAACTGTACAATGTAGCTACATTTTCATTTACCTAAAATAGTTCACTAATAGTAAATTGGACAATATTTGTCCCTAAGTGCCATCCCAAGCAAGTCAAACAATGCATGAATAGAGATGGGCATCACGAGGGTAAGGCTCCAAAAAATTTGTGCAAGGACCCTCCAGAGGGTATCAACTTAAGAACCCATTAGCAACCCTCTGGTCTGTAATATTCGGGAGGCATAGATGGGCACCTTTCATTCATATGAGGGTATGGATTTATGGTGTTGTATCCAGGCAATTCCATCCGGTATTTCCCTCGAATCTGGCAAAAGGGAAGCTCCACTGTGTCACCATCCTTGCACCACTGAGGCAAGTGGCTTGAATCATTTTCAAAAATATTGAGTGAGTAAGCATCTTTAATCTGCATTGGCAAACTAAATGGGTTAAGAACTCATCAGATATTTTGACAAGGAGTTCACGCTAGAACACCTAAACTATCATTTCAAGTTCAACCTTATTTAACTATATTTTGAGTTGTGAAAATTGATCGATTTTGCAAAATCTCAATATGAAGTAGATTGCAGAAAAATGTGCACTTCACAACCCATTCGATGCTTAGACACCACCATAAATAAATCAACTGAATGCAGCCAAAAAATCAGCACAAAGAAAGACTCAGCTATAATTCAAGCAGACCCACCGTAAACTCAGTAACTTCAATGGAGTTTCCAAGTTCACCAAATATTCCTGCTTCTTTATACATCTCAAGGACAAAGGCAACACATGATGCAGATTTCCCGTCAACGTATGTCCAGTTATCCCTTTCTGGAATAGCCAACAGTTCAGCAAAAGATGATCCACGCTTCTCCACTTCAACTAGAATTTCAGGAAGACCAAGCCCCTGCATACAAATTGGACACTTGATTAACCATCTGACACTTCATTAGAACCTACAGCCTTCATGCAGAATAGAAGTTGCAACTTAAAGATTTAGACATTTACTATTAACCCATCTAGATTCAGCGTTGTTTGCTTTTTGGCTGAGAGATATGAATCTCAACCTATCCCCTTTATTTTGGGTTTTTCTTCTATCAAACACAACATGGCTACATCTTATTTCATCATTACCTTTTCAGCTGTCGTACTTTACATTTTACAATCATTTGTGTTAAGGATAAACATTTGACCATGGGATTAAAAGTAGTCTTGGAAAAATGAAAACCTGAGTTCCAAGTCTCTTGTTCAAGGCCTCATTCCACAGGTTAGCAGCATATGTTGGCTGCAATTGACTCCAGACAGTCATGACAGAAGCAACCTGCACCAGAACCACGGTTCAGAAGCAATTTAAGCAGCAAAAGTGGAGATGAGGGAAGAGGAAATTAGTGAGGAGAAAAAAACGATAAAGAAACTCACTATATGAAACTCCAATCTTATTTATGGAATGAAGTCTTTACTTAGTTCACAACCGAGAAAAATTACTCCTAGAGCATATTCAAAATTTTTAAGTTCAACATGAAGCTTTCTTCAAACAGGAACTAGGTCAATAAAAAATGCAGGCTTTTAAACCCCAGACCACTGAAGATCTGCGAAAATAACCTAAAATTATCACATAAAACACCAATTATGGTGTACAGACTCCAAGCCTGAATAAGGCTACTTGACAATCGCATTCACATGGTCCTATCAGTTGAGATAATAGAAGTCAATCACAGCCATACGTTATGATAAGACAAACGAAAGCAAACCAATTATCGTGCATACAACACTGAAGAGACCATATCCTCATATCCCAGTAAAATCTAGGTGATTAATGTTTACTGGAACAGTAGAATTCTTTTTGGTATATTACTGAGCCAAAATATCATAATATGACTATATTATGTATTTGCCTAACACCACAACACCACAGTCCAAGCAGTACAAGATTTGAGCACCAGCAGATCCATAGGAAGTACACTACAATAATATTATTGACCTACAATAATATTATAAGACATTGGTCAATCGAAGTTAGCTTAAAAAGTAAACTTTTCAAACTTAAAAAATTTAGATTACCAAATGAGCATCCAAGGGTGGTGGATAATTTCCTTCAATCGTGTCTATCCAGCTAAAAATCAAGTTATGGAATCCATAAGATAATCCTTCCATACTACGTGCATACTCCCAAGCAGCAGTCTCATTGAACTTGGCACGGAAGTGAGGATGCAAAGGAAGCAAGGCAATATGTGGATTAGAATCGTCCTTTGTCAACTCAAAATCCCACCATTCATCCCATGGTAAGATAGCAATGATATCTTGCCCCTGTCATAGAATTGTGATTCAATTTTCCATAAGAGAAAATGATGAAAGAATGAATTCCTAACCAATAAGCAATTGGAGAAAGTTAAGTTGTGAACATCCTGAATGCATACCTTCTACCATTTGTACCTAGTCATGCTTTTTATCTTATGTTCTAACAGTCAACATAGAGCATGTCAATGAACACGTAAAGATAGGGCAGAAAAGAAACACTCCTCCAGAAACAAAAGGCTATGAGATTGATGAAGAAAACAGAAAACAGTTGGTACTCCTCATCCACACAAACAGTTGTCAGGAAATGCAGAAATACCTTGAGCTTCAGTAAGTGCAAGTCAGCAAGAAAAAGTGGTAAAATAATGTGAAGCAACCACCTTATATGCATGACTCCTCATTACCCCATCTTCTTTTCTACATGAAAAGAAAGAGACACAGAAAAGGGGAAGTTCTGAATTGATTTATGCCTCACTTTGTTAGGAGAATATTAGTATTCTTATAGATAATAAATTAGTAAGGGTATTCTTGTAAATAGTCTGTTAGGTTTGTACTCCTATAAATACTAGTTGGTCACTCATAATAGTGTGACTAGATGTTTTCCTCCCAAGATACCTGTTGACATGGTATCAGAGCAAAAGTCCTAGGGTTAGGGTAAAACATCTAGCAAATCACTGTTCACGCCGCACTGTTCATAGCGGCACTGTTCACGTATACTGTTCACGGCACTGTTCACGCCGATACTGTTCACGTAGTTACTGTTCATGCGTTACTGTTCACGCGTTTGTCTCAAGTTTTGACCCGTTCTTTCGTTTGACGTGCTATTCGCTATGGTTGAAAGGTTTGTTAATACGGTTATCACTGACCAAGTTGAATCAAGTTCTTCAACACATGGGTCCCAGAAAACTGTTACTATATCTGAGGAAGATTATGTTAAATTCCTACAGTACCAAGCTACAAATCACGCATCTCTTCCCTCTGCTTCTTTAGCACAAAAAGGTAATGACCCATGGATTATTGATTCCGGGGCTACTGATCATATGTCAGGTACTGACCCATGGATTAATTGGTGAAGTGCGTGGCATATCAGGAACTTTCTCAACTTCAATGGTCCGATAGCACATCAGCACTTCAACTCTCTTGTCACTCCTCATCAGCACATCAAGGTTACATATCTTAAGTGCTTTTGTTAGATTTTCAACACGTCACTCACTCCATTAGCACCCTGTGAAGGCATAACTATGACAACCCCTAGCACTTGATTTAGATCTGCTTCTTAGTTATTTCCATGAAGTCCATACGTAAATGAATAATACTAAGTCCATACGTAAAAGAATAATACTTCATGAGCCACAGAAAAATAATAAAACACCAAAACATAGGCCTCAGAATGTGTTGAATGGCACGAGAGAGAGAGAGAGAGAGGTAAAAGCAGATAATAATAAGAGAGAATTGTTGAAGTGCTTTCAGCAAGTCAGTGTACACCTATATATTTGTGGTGCCTTTATATATTTTATAATCTGGAAAGTTTGACATAGTACCTCCTTATCCTCATGTCCTGATTCACCAACCCATAACTTCCCTTCAGAATCTCTCAAACAAACAGCTGAATGACCAGCATAAGCTCCACTCACCCATTTTTCCAGAGTCTCAAAAGCACCCCATCGGCCCCGAATCTTTGATACTGCAAGGAAATCTCCAGACTGTATATCATCAACGCTAACATTCATGACCATGGTTGAGGACGTTGCTCAAATGAAGCCCCCATATGCTTCTTTAAAAACCCAATATTTGAATTCTCTCCCCATCCTGTATTTGTAAACAATGGGAAGACATCCCATAGAGCTTGAAGGGTGCCTAGCATCCCTGCTTTCATGAGGAAGATTGCAACAACTCCCTTGTGTCTGACCTGTTTCCATGGAGAGTAGATTATATCTGATGCAGAACTTTGTTCTATGAAATATGCATGTAGACTAAGATCAGCAGATGGTTTGAACTTACATATTCATACTCCTGTTCTGATTCCCACTCTTCGAACTCAAGGGTATGTTCACGAGACAAAAAGTAATAGTCCCATGTCACACGGTATGGAGTTGCAAAAATATACAGATCCATACATGTCCAGCTATGAGCCTTGCTAACCTGAAAGGTCAAAGGAACACAAGTGAATACCAACAACAAAAATTTATCTTGCCATGGAATGAAAGTCAGACAACCATCACTCCCCTTTCCTGCCACTCGGCAATAAGTAAAAGAGGAACAAAATGAAAATCATGCTTGCAGAAACATGAATGAGAAGGAAGAAATTCTTGGCCAACTAGAAACAGGAAAACAAAAAACAAATGCGCCTTCCCAAGATAGGTGAGAAAGAGAGAGAGCAAACGGTAGCAGAAACTTTCATCTCTCATCTGAGAAAATGGGAGCTGGGGAATCTTAACAATCTTACTAACTTCATGTCGTTGTCTTAGACACTAGATCTAACTTAAGTGGGTTACCTACTGCAAATTCTCAAAAAGACAAATACACAAAACTAGATGTTCCATGGATTGATGACTCAAGATACACAGATTAGTGGCAACCTTCCATCCAATTTCTAAGTAAATAGACCGAGCAATAAAAATTTGCCACCCAATGAGGACAACAACGATAAAAAGTTTTGAAAGTAAAACTTGAAGCAAGCATCATAGGAAAACTCCAATCATCTAGGATAGTCACGTTCATAAGAAATGCGTCTCTATCTAATCTAAAAGGATAATTTGCACGTTTTAAATCCTGAACTCCGGTTCAACTCAAATCACTCCAGAAGTACAAATATGACCAGCTAAAACCTGAAAGCCCAGCTTAATTAAAGTGATCACAACTCATTTCTTCATGTTCTTGGCAATCAAATATTTAGCTGATACTCAACCAACACCAACAATTGCAACTCTGCCCTATCATCTAAATGGACTTATGTTCTAGAAATACAGGTAATATGTTCCTCCTCAATTTTCTTTAGAAAAATCAAGTAAATAAACCAGGAAAAAAAATTTCCAAAATGCCGAGTTTGTAGCGATCACGTAATCTCACTTAGGCAAAAATAAAACCTCCAAAAAGCTAAAGTTTCAAAAAAGGAAAAGAGAAAACAATCAAGAAATCAAAAGAAGAGACAGAATTAGCTAGTATCTAAACCTTGATATGAAGTGTGCCTCCACCGAATTCGCTGCCGCTCTTGTTGTTAAACTCCAACCAAGCAGTATTTTCGTAAAAGCAAGCCCCTTTCCACTCCAAGCTATTGTTGGTGGAAGAAGCAGCCCCAACGAACGAAGGCAAAAGGTCCACTGCACTATTCAAATAGTTCATAATTGGCCACGAGACTCGTCTTGGTAAAACTGGCAAGACATCCAAGGGATGAAAAGGGACTTTCAGGGCATGTAGTTGAGATGCAAAAAAGAAGGCATAAATGATAAAACCCAAGCATACGTGGTGGCTTTTCTTGAGTTGAATTAACATGGCTGTTTCGAGAATTGAAAGAAAGTTTTCAGCTTTAGTATTGGATTGTGATAAAAAATTTATATGGGATGAAAACGGTTTGATCTTTATCCAAATTCAGCAGATGGGTACAAAAATTTCCGCTGGAAAGTCTAATTCTGTGATGACCCAAGTTGTTTGGTACTGCTATAGAACCTTTGCCGGAGCCTTGGGGTGGTTAAGCACCATTAAAGTGGAAACAAGAAGTTTCATTTGGCTGGGGTGGAATCGCAGAAGAAAGATTTCATCATCAAGAAAGTAAAGAATTTTTCTTTTTTTTAACTTCGGTGAAAATTCTACGTATCTGATGATTACTAAAACGATAAACTTCTCTTATCGCAAAATCAATAAGTGATCTCTAGATTAGCGTACACAAGTAGAAGAGAGAAAAAAGGTCAGTTGGCTGAAGAAAGCAAGTCAAAGTTTTCACCATTTTACAGACCCACATGAAATTTTATGCTATTAATGGCAGCCTTAAGATCAATACGAGAGCATCAATTGGTTGTTCTTTTATTGGGAATTTGTCACTATCGTTTTCTTTTTTATCCAACCTTTTGTCAGTAGTATCATCCTTGGATAATACTCCGTGGCGTCACAAATGCGATATTATTGTTACCACAAGAGGAGTGAATTTTTTTTTTTTGTTGTCGAAACATAGCTGGTAACAGAAGAGAAGTGAATCAATCATCAGAGTTTGTAATTACTCTCCCTCATGTTTGTCCATTTTTTAAATAATATGTTTCAATTGCCAAGATATATGATACTGTAATAGTTTCTAAATTAAGAAACGAACTTTCAAGACCTGCAATAGTTACATAAAGATGTTTAAGCGGAATATTCTTATCTTCATTATCCAAGATATGAGGATGATCAACTTTCTCAAAATCCTTTAATAAGATTTTGATTTAATGGTTAATATTAAGGCTTCAATATCTCGAGATTATGAGTTCAAATTTTACTATTTTACATAGATTAATTTATGTTATATAGTCAATGGTATTGAGTTGTAACTCTCACAATTTTTGAGTTGATTTGAGTTAAAAGTCTTACACTTTGCGTGACTTAATTTATAGTTAGCTTGCAGTGATGTTGAGCTATAATTCCTACTACTTATGAGTTAGTTTGGATATGATTATCAACATTTTTTCTCCCCCGGCAGAAGCCTGATTCCATGACTCTGGTACGTAGAGTCCAGCAGCATCTATCTCTACAGTCTATCCTCTCGGAGACGGTACCTAGCCATCATCAGGGGAGCAAGTCTGTATTTTGTGGGCATAATTTTACGAGTTATCGGACAAGTCATAGCCAATCAAGTGATTCTCTAGAAAGCAAAATGTGGTGGGTGGCCAAACAGCTCTAAGCTACTACAAGACGGATATTCTTCATGAAATTCCAACTTGCACCACCAGGCATCAAGAAAATGCTCTATCGAGCAGGAAGGAATATTCTTTTCTTCCTTGCAATATCATGGTCTTTGCCCCCTCTGGATCGGCAAAGAGCATGGTACTACAACTGAAACTCGTAAACATATAAAGCTTTTCATTGACATCATAGCCATTTCCTTTTTTTTTTTTTCTTCTTCTTTTCTTGTTTTCATGAGCAATGCCCATGAATTAGTTGGTTGGTGTTGGTTTTGACCTGCTCATATTGGACGGCTGCCATAGCAATTTAAGTTATTGACGTGGTAGAATTGGCAACATGTTTTTCTTTCCTGGCTCCTATTGAAGTAGATAGAGATCGCGTTTGTTTTGCTGGCTGAAGATTTGGCATTCACTCAAACAACAGCTTTCGTTGTCCAGCAATGAGCCACGCAAACAATGCGAGACGAGAACTAAATAACCTATCCAAATATTCACTCTCTCGAACAGAATATATTGTAGATCCCTCGAATTCTATTTCTTATAAAGCCAAAGTTATTTTCTTCTTTCCTTTTTTTTTTTCCTTCCACCTTGAAAACAACAACTCTTATTCTTGTACGATACGAATTCAGTGGAAGCCTCCAGCAAGCAACTCAGCAACCACGCATCTCTCTTTGTAGCCACATTACTTCCTTATATTTATTCCCCCGCTATCAATGACCACAAATGCTCGGGCTGAGTCTCATGAACCACTAAACTCTCTTCTCCTGCACCTTTTTTCATAGTACTATATATTGAGACTTTCTGGTGCAAAATGGTTTCTCTTGATGTTTGCAGAAGTTGCTACCATGTCTGCATTCCCTCATCTTAGATCCCTACACCATGTTAACCAATGCCATTATCTTTCCCCTCCCTCGCATATCTACCGCTCTATTACTACCACTACCACCAAATCCAGGCGGCGCCACCCTGAGCCATTAGTCGTTGATCTACCATGGGTTTTGAACACAAGCACCCCAGCCACAACTACCATTCCACTTGATGACCCAAGCCTGCAATCAACTGATCCACCACCAGTACTGAAACGGAGCACCCCAGTCGCAACCACTTCTATGCTCAATGATCCAAGCTTGAAATCAAAATGGTCTCACCGTGCATGGGTGGCAAGTGGAGGCACGACTGTGCTAGTTTCTCTAGCCAAGTCGGTAACTGGTGCAGTTGATTCGGGCACATGGCTACAGCCCATTTTAGCAGGCGTTGTCGGCTACGTGCTGGCAGACCTTGGCTCTGGAGTCTACCACTGGGCATTGATAACTATGCGATGAAAACACCCCGGTTTTTGGTAGTCAAATTGAAGCATTTCAAGGCCATCACAAGTGGCCGTGGATCATCACAAGGCGCCAATTTGCTAACAACTTGCATGCTCTAGCTCGAGCTGTTAGTTTCACAGTTCTCCCAATGGACCTTATCTTCAATGACCCTGTGCTGCATGGTTTTGTTAGTGTCTGCTCAGGCTGCATCATGTTTAGCCAGCAGTTCCATGCCTGGGCTCACACTACAAAGAGCAAGCTTCACCCATTGGTGGTGGCACTGCAAGATGCTGGAGTGCTGGTATCTAGATCAATGCACGGAGCTCATCACCGCCCTCCATATGACAGCAATTACTGCATCGTAAGTGGCGTTTGGAATGAGCTTTTGGATACATACAAGGTTTTTGAAGCCCTTGAAATGTCTTGTTCTTCAAGCTAGGAGTAAAACCACGGTCCTGGAGTGAACCTAGTTCCAACTGGACAGAAGAGACAGATACCTCATCTCTAATTGCAGAGTTATAATTCAATTTTTATTATTGCTTATTCTTTTCTGCATGCTTTGGATGAAAGCAGCATTCTCACAGCAAAATGGCTGCTGTTGATGGATCCTTCTCCACTGTAAAGTAATTATTGATTAACGGAAAAAATTAATCAACCACAATTCAATTATCTAGAAACACCATCCCCTCCCACCCCCCCTTCACGGGCCTTCTTTGAAAAAAAATAAAAATTGAGAGAGTAAAGAAGAATGGAACAGTATAGTAGAAGAGAACATTCCTGAATAGACTTCTTTCCACCCTTGAGAAATAATGCAAGAGAAGATCTGTGTATATTTTGAATTTTGCGTTCACTTTTTTGGCTGCTTCTTGTACAAAAACATGTACAGTTTGATTCTAAACCTGTACTACTTTCACAACTACAACTTCAACCACCAATTCCCAATACCACACCCACCTCCATATAAAATCACCAAGAGATTTGCATGGATAACTTTGCAAACGTAGAATGTTAACAGCAGAGAGGTTATTTTGCCTTGCTAATCAGACCACAATCAGATTGACAATTCTTCATGTGTATACAAGAAGGATCGTCTCATTGTCATGTTTCATAACCTGTAGGGAAGGAGAAAAGGAGACGATGTCATCATGCCTATGAGATCCTTCATAGATTCTGACTTTTTTTGCATAAAACAGCTAGTGGTAAAAAGAAAAACCTTAGGAGGTATCAGCTCCTGCATATGAAGATATAGAAGATACACATGGGAACCAGTATCGTCGTCTTCCATCTTTATCACCATCATCAATCATTGCAAGACCTTCCTGCATTGCAGGACAAGGGTTACAAGCTCCCAAAAGGAACTACAGAACAAAGCACGAGTGCAAATTTTGCAAAATGAGATGTAAAAACAGCAGCAGAAACTTACATCTAATAAAGTTTCAAGGGCATCAGTGGCACGCCCAGAAGGCCAGGAAAGCCGTCTCTGTACCTCATCAACTGTAACAAAGCCTTGAGCCTGCAGGAATAGCAATATCACTATGCCAACCTACATCTAGACTAAGAGATTTTAAGCCACTAATGCAACTTTGATGCTTTGAAAGTGAGAAAAATAAATAAATAAGGACAGATTATAAGCGTGGGAGGTAGGTAACTCAAACTGATGAAATTGATAATCAAGTATGCATTAAGCATATTTCAATTCCTCTTCCTTCGCATGCATGAAACAGTTTGCCTAAGTTACAGCCTATTCAGTGGGATACAACCATATATGTTAAAATGAAGCTAGATATAGACAATCAGATATACTATAGGTCATACAGGCATTGTAAAACCAATAAAGACCAATAAAAGTAGACCCAGCCACAAAAATGCCAAGAATTTGCCAAACTCAGATATACTAACACAAATAGTGGATGATGTTTGAATATTCATTATAACAGAAGTAGATTATATGGCATATCAACAATATTTGGGACAAATGTAAAGGAACATCCAAAACGAGTTGAAACCTGTGCCAGCTCTAGGATTTCATTATGGTCCTTGTTTAGTTCTGTTGGGACAGATCGAACTAGTTTTCTCTTTCCAACAGAGATCACCTCAAAACCACTTCCTAGTACCTGAAAATTTCACAAAAAGCATTTTAAGACAATGGAAGCAATCTGGAATTGTTGGAAATTTATCGACATGTGCTCCCCCAGAGAGCAGAGAAAGCTAGCAGACGAGGAAACTTGGATGAATTAGATTGATTCAGGCAAACAATAATCTTTTACAACAGCCAAGGAATGCTAATGGTTAGATTGATTCAGCAAGGATTCAAGGAATGCTAAGTAGGCTTAAAGGAGAGATAGTTAGTTCTAAGCAATCGAGAATTGCCAGCAGTTTGAAAAACAAAACATTGCAAGTTGCTTCAAGATAACCATCTCAAATGGACATAGTGCTGCTCCAAGTAAATTTCACGTATCTAGGAGCATATTGGCAGAAACGCAAATTAGTACCTTCAGCTTACTAATAGCACGCAAGCAGTCATCCTCAGAGACAGCTTCACGAGCTCCTTTGCGTCTCTGGCCAAGTAGTTTGCAAAGTTCCTCTAAGCTGATCAAACCTCCATTATGAGCTCTAGTAGACAAGCAAATATCAACAATTTGCACCCCTGTATGGAAAGAAATCAATTAAAATTCAAACATACAGAAGTCATCCAGCAAAGTACAATGAATAAGGACAAGAAGAAAATATTTTTAAATATAGTAATGGATAGACAACAGTAAGAGATAGTTTGCTATTCAAGTAGAAATCTTGCACGCAAGGATGCAAAATATGTCATGCAACTGTGCTTTATGCAATATAGTGTGTAACGGCAATCCTGAAAGCATAATTGCATGTCAGAAGTCAAAAGAATATTCCTATGATCTAAGTAGACAGAGCCCAGGGAAATGCAAGTGAGATCCAAGTTGCACTAGCGCATGTTAAAGAATCATAGAATAGTGCTCAATTACTGACATATATTCTGAAACATAAACAAATAGAAAATAAACCACTATGCAATTGCCAACTAGATATAAAGGACCACACAATTAGCAGTAAGAGGAGCTTTGTAACATTAGTTACAAATTTTTCAACATAAAAATGAGCAGTGTCACCAACCAAGTTCGTAATAGAAGTCACCAATCCCCAGCAGCTCTGCCCAGAAGCCCTTGTTTGAGGCTAGGGGGTCCACCCCCACTTTAGCACACATCTCATGGAACTGTGATCTGAAAGCTGGATTCTTGCGAATGTCATTCTGCACCAAGCAAACCAAGCATTATAAAAGGTTAAATCAGTAAATGCAACAAAAAACATATATCTTCAGCTATTAGCTCATTGTATCGCATACAGAACTTTGCTGATTCTCATTTTACTGAAAATAATACAGCGGAGTACCATTTCAATGCCAATTTTGCTTATGGTACTGAATGGTAACTCTAATCCACAGACACTTCCACCATTAGAAGGTCTAGCAAAGGAACAGGCATACATCGCTTTACCATGGGAACATGGAGGAAAGCAAACGCATTCACCAAAGCAAAGAAAACAACTTTAGCATTGTGGAGATTCTCATCCTTCATATGAAAATCAACGTACTTTTTATACAGTAGAAGAACATTACATCCAGATCCTGTCCCAAGGCTACCAGGATAAAACATTAACGAATTACACGACAAATGCATAATCGAGGATCCTGTTTTCATAGCCTTAAAATGAGGATACAATTCTTGCCTCCTCCATTACCCCTCGCCTTCCTGCTTCTTCCTTCCCAGCCTTTTCGGGAAGGAAAAAGGGAAAGCTGAGATTTATTTACCTCCTCATTGAGCTCAAACAACTTAAAGATGACATTTTCTGACTTTATTCAGTTAATGGATTCTCTATATTCTTCCACGCAGGAGTATCTTTGCTCCTATTTTCTCCTCAATTTCTAGCTCTACCTTTAGTTTACTCTCCCCAAAACCAGCAAGTATAACTACATTATAAAGAAATACGAAAAATTAAAAGAAAAACAGATACAGAAAGATGAAACCTTGTGTTTGCGGGCAAAGTCTTCAAGCTGAGAGCGAAAAGTAGATAGCTGCTCCTTCATTAGATCTGTTCTAAGCTTCGCCACATTTTCTCCCAGCAGCCGATATTGATCCTACACCCAAAAACAATTACAAAAAATTAATTTTACCAATGAGTTATATATCTGATAAACAATCATGGAGCATCTATGTGTAAATATATAAGTAAATGAAAAGGATAAAGTACGGAACGAACTCTAGCGGCAGCAGCATTCTGCAAACCTCCAATTCCAGGTCTCCGCCTCATCCTCCAGCTTGAAAGGTCGTTCACCCGCCGCTGATTTTCTTCTGGTTTGGTTGAAGTGCTTGACGGTTCACAACGCAGTAAAGACTTCAGGGACGAGTTCTGATCGCCGGATAAGGGCGGAGGCTTGTTTTTACTATTTTCTTTTTCCCTTTCCTTTCCCTTCTAATTTGGCATCATTAGTGCTAGCTCAAAAAAAAGAAGAAGAAGTGTGTTTTTTTTTTTTTTTTTGAAGAAAAAAAAAAGGAGAAGAAGAAAACTGTTAAGTTTCCCAAAAAACCTATTTAACGTCCAATTGTTTCTTTCAGACTTCAGTATCCCTCAGTTCCCTACATTGTAAATATTTCAAAAGTATATAATCTTCTTCCTTCGTAAATGACAATTCCCAGTTTATAAGAAATTGTACAAGTCCATGCTGTAATTTAAGTTATCTAGTGTTTTGTTAGTTCTAAACTAATTAAAGTATCCTTAATTTGTAAACTCTTTTTTAATAAAATAATTTAATATTTTTATTTAATGTTTATGCTTTTTAATGCGCCAATTAAAATCAAACATCGAAGCCCATTGCAGTAGTTAATAGCAAAGTACACCAGAAAACCCCCATTTAACAATCAGTGATTAATGATCAATTTCTTCTCTACTTTTGTATTTAACTACCATGGGAGTAACTGGTAGCCATTCTTTTTTTTTTTCCAATGAGTTTTACGGTAAGGAGGATTATCGCATTTAACTGATTTATATTAAATATTTATATACGCAATATTTATTCAACAAATCAGAGTGGCGCAGCGGAAGCGTGGTGGGCCCATAACCCACAGGTCCCAGGATCGAAACCTGGCTCTGATATAAGAGAGCAAGGCTTCTCTTCCCACTCTAGTATCATTTTTGCCGTTTCCCGGAGGAACTGAACTGTACCGGACCAGGCTAGTTGAAATGGCCATTTCGTATTCCCACCTAAAGTCTTTTCTCAAAATTTGCAACCTCCATGTTCCATCCACAATTTGTTCGATATTTCTTATTTAATTTATTCAGCACAAGGAATTTTTATCGAATCAACCAAAAGAAAACGTTTGCAAAGAAAACTTCGGAATATTGCCCTCCTCTCTTTCATTATCTAGTGGCATCGGATACTTTCTTTTTAAGAATCTCAGTTACTTCCATCCAAGGCATCTTTCGTTCTTACCAGAAATTGATCATCCCTGTAAGAGTCAGTCAATTATTACTAGAACTTTTTATCATCAGAATATAATAATGATGGTCGAAGAATTTATTGTTGTTCTTCCAGTTGCTGCTGTCCCTGTTGGCCTTGGCCATATTGACCTTGACCCTGCTGCAATTGCTGAACAACGTGCCTGACGGCCTCACAGCGGCATTGCTCGTCGAAGTTCCTCAGCTGCTGGCAGCACTGCCTCAATTGCTGCTGTTGCTGTTGTTGATTGTACATGGGTACCACCAAAGGACTCCCCTGGCTTTGCTGCAAGAACTGCTGGCACTGTTGGAGCTGCAGCTGCCTTTGTTGAATCTGCTGTCTGCACCTCTGAGGGGACTGTTGTTGCCCTTGTTCGCCCCCTCCACGTTGGTCTATTTCCTCATCGATGCAGTGGGTCGGAAGCCAGAAACTCCCACCACAGCCAAGAGGGCTACGGCCAAGACTGCAGCAAACGCTCTGACATTCACCATTTGGTCCGTCTTACAGAGTGCTGCATATCGTAGTATTGTATTGTCATACAGGACAAGTTTGCTTTGGGGGTTTTGGGAGGGTTATGGCAAAGGGTATATATAGTTGATCTCAGGCTCTGCATGGCCGGAAGATAGCTATCCAAGGAAGACAAATGAGGTGGTTGTCAGAAAAGGCTTCAGCTTCCACGTATCTATTTGCATGCAAATGCTGCTGTTTGAGCCTATTCTACCCATGGTGATTTAACTGATTTCAGGGCGGATATGCTACAGTCACTATTCACCGGAAAAAATCCACAACACTGACGCGTATTTAAGTTGCAGTAAGAGAATATAGAGCTTGGTTGCAAGAGTTCAAGTGGAGCAACGTCAGAATCCATCAAGATTTAAATAAATGTAACAGAAGTCACAGATACACAACAATCTTCACATCTCAACAGCATCTTTTACTGTAACTGTTTCTTTTGTAGGAGAATCAACTGCATAGGGATCCTATATTGTCTATTCAGATGTTCTACATTCTCTGCCAAAAGAAAACTAGTATTACAAAATCACCTGTGGTTAAAACTATGCTCTCGACAAAAATCGCCTGTAATTCTTAATAAAATTAACTGCCTGCTTGTTCTACTTTCAGACCAAATAAAAATGGACAAATGAGAGAAGACAGCAGGCAGTTTTGTGAATCAGGAATCCCACTGTAAACTTGATTGTATCACGGAACTATGCTGGCATCCCAGTTGCTTCCTTTGGTATCAAAAATAGGAGCAATATGGGGATAAAAGTGCAGAGAACCTGAATAGTAATTCCTAAAGCAAGGTTGTCAAATGATCCTGAAGAAATATCTAGAAGTGAAGCAAGACCAGCACCAACAATTGATCCCACCGTAGAGCCCAAGTTGTTTATTGACATGAAGAGGGCAAATAAAGTTCCTTCAATTCCAGGAGGGCAAAGTTGTCCTGACATGATAAGGAAGGGCATGAACCTGCAAAGTAACATGAAAATGAGTTAATAATTGAAACTGCAGGATGCCATTAACAATCAATCATAGAATTGCCCAATAACATGCGTTGACGACCTGAACAACGAATAAATAGTGTTATTTTGTTTTTTGGATAGAAAAGGAGTAAACTTAATTAAAAAAAAAAATCAACTGGAATGTACCTACTTAACACTTCACTATCAGCTAAAAGAAAAGAAGATAATCCAACAGGGGGATTCAAAACAATCAAAATTTGGTTGGATTGAACTCAATCATACATTTTGCAACTGACGTGGAGTAGAGGCAGACTACAGAAATTGATAGCAGACATCTGAATATGAGTGTGAACATGAAAGTTAAGTGCCCAACAAATCCTAGTTATTAAATTAATCCCATAGACAAGCAAAAGAAAGATGCAGCACATACTTGAATTGATTGATACCATCTGCGAGAACAGACCCGCCTAGCACCATAACTTTATCAGATATGCCTAATGAAGTATTAGATCGAGACACCAAAGCCACATCCAGAAGGCTTGACAATGCCAGACCAACATGAGCCCACCTGCATAGAATGTGCAGATCATAACCACATGGCAATACCAATCAGTAAACTAACGAAAATTTTGAACATAGCAAGTATAAACTAATCAGGTGTATGCTTACATAAGAATTCTTCGTAAATTCATTTTCTTCAAGTAGCGATTATAGATGAAGGTTCCCAACATGAGACCTAACCAACCAACAACACGAGCTGTGCCCAAAAATGAAGCTTCCAAGTTTAGGACCTCTGACTGATAATAGAACATGATAGTTGAGAAGTTTGGAACAGTTACATTTGCCAAGAAAAACCATGCCATTGGTCTGTAATATGGAAGGGAAGAGATTAAGATACAACCAGAACATAATTAGAACAAAAGTTCAACTCAAAACAGTAAATAACGTCATCAACTAGCTAGGTCAGAGAGAAACGCCAAACGACTGATGGTGCAAAATTGTCTCATCAAACTTCATAGCTTTAGTGGTCACTTACAAGACCATCTCCAATCAGGCTTTAAATTTTACTCAATATTACATACTTCATCCAAGATAACAAAAATAATTATCAAAATATCTTCTCACTTATTACCTTAAAATCATTGGTTGACGGAAAGCCTTAAACAATGCAGAACAAGCCATTTTCAGAGAACGGAGCCATTGCGATGCTAAAGAAACATCTTTTCCAGAAATCTCAAATTCACTTTCAACTGGTGCTTCCTTTTTGGTGTTTTTGTGGCCCTTCTTTCGCCTCAAGGTGATGGTTTTGGACATGTTAGAGAACTTATCCTGATCAAGAACCCTTTGACTCCTTGTCTGCAAACCATTTGATGTAGACGGTTCAGGCAGAAAGGAATTCTCCTTGACCAAACCACAAGAAAATAACTGTATGGTTGGTAACACAGAAAAAAGTAGAAAAATTTTGTCAATCTGCAAATTTTCTAAGGCATATCCTCCGAGCAAACTTCCACAAATTCCTCCTAAAGCCATGGCCATCCAAGATACTGACTGGAGATCCCCAGCAAAAGAGGCCCTGTTTGAGTAGACATAAGACTTTAATCCATGTGCAGAAACAGTTACACAGAGAGAGAGAGTGTGTGTGTGTGTGTGTCCAAAGAGAAATTAGACAAATGTAGTTAATATCTTCAATAGCTGGTTTGCCAAAAGCCTCAGACTAATCATCAAATGTAATTTCCATAGCTGAACATGTTTACATGTTGTTATCCAAGTAGATAATCATGCTTTCCAACATCCAGAAAAATAAATATATTCATCGTACAAATAACCAAATATGAATTCAAAATGAAAACATACCGTTCAAGCCTTACTGCCTCAGCAATCATCGCATCAATTACTACATCAGCCATTGCAGAACCCAGGTTTTGAACTGTCAAAAGAATCATGAGATGCACCCTTGAGCTCCTCAAGGATGCACTTACACCTAACATGAGCCATGGACCAAGAGCGAGCAGAGTTGCAAGGATCAAGTATGGAATCCGCTTTCTTCCTCTGATTGGTATGCAATCAGACAAGATTCTACAACCATCATAGCCAAATTTGTCAGTAGATAGCAAATTTAATGGAGAACTGGTGTTTTACAATAATCTAAAGGACAAAAAATAAGAACAATACTACAAAATTAGCTCTTTGCAAGATTTAGCGACCATTTATTCGTCCTCTACTAGCCACTATTAGCTCCATTCAAGCAGACGCTATCAGGTTATACAAAGTGACTTCATTTCTATTCTAGCAAATAACATACTTACAGGCTGATATTTCTACTAGAGAAGGCATAACTTTGACATGCCTAGTTACAGACACTTTCAATGATAAATGCTACACTCGTTTATGAGTAATTATCAGATAGACTCACCACACTAGAATCCAACAACACTCTTTTATCTTGGTTATATGAACTTTTATCAATCTATCCTCCCTGGCACCCTTCTCTTTCATTCTCCTCTTATCTCAAGAATAACATTTATAAGTTACTATGATTGTAACATAACTACATGTTTAGGTTTCACGTTGAAGCATCACAGAGAACTTAAGCTATTCTGAAATAATAAACCTGTCAAAAGTTCAGTTAATTAGTTCATAAACAGTAGGAAAAACTTGAATCCATACCCATATAGTGGTTTAATACTCCATGGAAAAATTGCAATTGAAGACACAAACTGGGAGGCTGAGGGTGATAACTTGAGATTGTCTTTTAGCTGATAAGAGACTGCTGTCCAGACAAAAGACCTGAAACCCTGCTTTCACCAAAACCCTCGTCAGTAAGCAAGAACCATTTTCCAGCAAACAAATAACCAATCACGAAGAAACGGTTTTTCATCAAGACATTCAAAAGATGGAAACCAAGAAATAGCAGGTTTCACAGTTGACCACGTTATAGAACTTGATGAAACGAAATTAACAGGATGAGATAAAATTATGTACCGGCGGAATTATTGGCCCGCTGTAGTATAGTACTTAGAACTGCTAAAATGATACTATCAATATGTCTTTGAGCGTATTAACTAGTTAAGAGTTTTACCAATTTTGTAACAGAGGAAAGGCATGTATTAGTAACTTCTGATTGAAAGAATGCTCGAGTCAGAATAACAAAAACCATTTTTGCTGCATTTCCAGCTCGGGTGAATTCAGAACTAAACAACCACTCCAGATTACACTAGTTTGCAAAATGAAAACCAGACTTAACTCAGAAATTATTTTTCTTCAAAACCAAAATCCACTAAATTGAATGCGTCCATCCCTAAAGGCCACGCCCAACATTTCAAGAACCCACTTCCCCAAAATTGAAAATTGCAGCAAAACCAATAATGTTCCACTCAAGAATGAACCAAAAAATAGACCAAACAAGAAAAACTCGAGATAGTAAATGACCAACAAAAAAAATGCTTGCAGTCGCAGATAAACGCATGGAGACCACGAGAAAGAATAATGAGAGCAAACAAACCTGGGTAAAATAAATCAAGCAAACAAGCCAAAGAAACGAAGCCCCAAATGCGATCCGTAACTGATTGATCCAGCCTATCATGTTATACTAATCCTTTTGCAGTACGCAGCGGCAACCTTCCTGCTCTACTTTAGCAATGACCCACTTGAGAAAAACCTAGTTTAATAATGGGTTTTGACTCTTTTCTATCGATCTTTTCCTCATCAAGAGAAGGAGTTGGATTACTGATTACATATGTTCATGACCAATCCCCGTGTTTAAAGATGGGAATCTTCATTGAATATTGTTGCCTACTCAATTTTGATACGTGCCTTCCTTGCTTTGCTCAGTTCGCAACCACCTTTTCTATTGTTCGTTTCTTTCTTCAATTCTTGCGCCAACCGCATTCTCACTTCAAATATCAAATGGGGAGCCAACTCCGCCAAGTCCAAATAGGAAGAAGGTGGCCGTTTGGAGGCCGTGTCATTCTGTCCAATTGTCTCTGTCCACGTGGTATTGTTCACTCATGGTTCGCCATTTGGCATTTGAACGCTAGTTTCCATTTTTTAAAGTTGATTTTCACGAAAATTGCAATTGTGACTTCTGAATAATTATCGGTAAAAAAAAAAATTTGCAATTTTTCTAAAGAAACCATTTGGCATTTGAACGCTAATTTTAAGTTTTTGAAAGTTGATTTCACGAAAATTGGAATAGTGACTTCTGAATAATTATCAATTTGAATTGCAATTTTTTTTTTAAAAAATTACTTTTATGCGAACATATTTTCTAATCATCCTTTTACCATATATACATGCAATATTTTTTTCTACTAGACTAATCTTTTCATTTTCCTTTCTTTTTTTTTTTAACTTTTAAGGATGATGAAAATTGCATTTTTTTAGATTTTTATAGAAAAATTACCGTAGTAATTTGATATATGTGAGGTAAAAAATGAAAACTCAGCAATTTTTCTTTGAAAATCTGCAATCCAAACACACCCTTAGTTTTTAGTGCATCGAAGAAAACAGATGTGGAATCTGATCAAATATGGTTAATGTTGTCGTGTAATGCCAAATATTCAAATTTCTGTAACAAGCAATAGAGATTTAATAGATATATAAAACCTGATTCTGGTGCCATGTTGGTGCTGAAAAGAAGGATTTCAGACTCGTATCACCATCTATTGAAACAGTTTAAATTGTGTAATGAGTTTTGAAGTTTCTCAGC